AACCCATGGTCGTCTCTGACGGAGAGACATTCCGGATAAATGTCATGGGGACGCACAATGTGGTCGAGGCGGCATGTAAGCTAGGGATCAAGAAGATCATCATCGCAAGCAGCATCACCGTCTACGGCGTTGCCTTCGGCCAGGGCAATTTGGAGTATGCCTATTTTCCAGTTACGGAAGAAGCGGATTGTAATCCGACGGACCCATATGCATTATCGAAATTGTGTGGTGAGAGGATTGCACGGAGCTATGCTGCAAAGTTCGGCGTGGACATATACTGCCTGAGGATTGGGAGGGTGTTCGAGCCAGATGAATACAACAGCGACATGTTCTGGGGCTACGTCAATGAGCCAGAGAAGTGGTTTCAGCACGGCTGGTCCTACACCGATGCAAGAGACCTGGGTCAAATGTGCCACCGTGGGCTTGCGAAGTCAGATCTGGGGTTCCAGATTTTCAACGCCGTGAACGACACCAGAACCAACTCCGAGGGAGATACGAACGAGTTCCTGCGACGGCTGTATCCGCATATCCCGCACTTGAGAAAGATGGACGAGTACGAAGCGCCGATCAGCAATGAGAAGATCCGAAGACTGTTGGGCTTTAATGAACAGCATATGTGGATGGCTTATTATGTTGCAAGATTGGCTAGACCTAGCCTGTCGGCGGGCCGGGTCGACTGAAGGCCTGTGACTTTATAACAAGTAGTACAAAATGCTCAAGAGCATGAAGGGACCTCGCAGGTGATTCTTCCGCGGCATCACCTGCCCCGTTTGCGCGAGCCATTCCAAGAAGCACTTGCCTGTACCCAGACTATCCCCGAGCCCCAAGCAGTCTGCGTCGAACAAGAGATTAGTAACAACGTCTTAGCAAGAGTGCAGGATCAGTATCTCTGGCCAGTCTGCCAGGCTTGTCTGTTGAGATAAATTGTTGCGGGCAGCTTGGCTACAAGAGGATATCATTTTAAGCGAGAGCGGATGTGGTAATCTACGATACCTTGCTTGTTGCAATTAGAGAGAGCAGCCGTAGATAGGGAGATGCAGATGTTCCTGGCCGATTACTACCAGTTTGTCAAAGGAACATTACAAAAGGTCATGAGGTTGCGTGTCAATGGAATTACAATTCATATCCGCTAATACAAAATATGTCATGCTCCGTGCGTGTATCCCGCCAGCCTTTCCCCTCATCAATACATTAAGAAGAGGAACTATGGTACATTCGTTGCCGAGTAGAAACTTCGTTTTTCTGGGGTTTGAAATGATCTTTTTAGATGCCCCTAGCACATCCATCAGCTGCACGGATGTTCAGAGGACCCTTGCACATCCACCTGCTTGGGAAGCCATCTGCAATCCACCAGATTTGGTAGCTGTGGATTGCGGCGAGGGTGCCTGCTGCATCCTGGCACGCATAGAAGAAGTTGCGGCCGTGGTTCTGCAGAGATCCGTTCCAGGTGAAGCTGAACTCGTTGGTGCGAGTGCCGAAGGGTGCAGAGCCGTGTGGTGGGCTGAAGCCGACGGGCTTCGACTGTCGGGGCACGACGTACATGTTCTGCCAGCCGGTTGGGCTGCTGTGGATGGACTGGAATGTAATTCTGTCGTTGCCGCCCCTGGCACCAGAGACGATCAGCGGCTCTGAGTAGGTTTGGTACTTGATCTGGCCGATGTAGGCGGAGCCGTTGGCGTAGAACAAGCTGTAGGACTGGAGCTCGCCCATGTTGAAGCGACCGCCTCCTATGGCAAGGTCATAGGTGTTGGGGTCGCGAGCCTCGATGTCGCTGACTTCGGGGGCTTCAACCGGCGCGGCTGTTGTGAGGCCGAGAAAGGCTGCAGCAGCAGCGAGAAGGACGATTGGTTTCATTGCGAACGATTGGAGAGGGCTCAGTGTTTTACGAGTGACCACTGCAGTATACTCAGTGTAGAGAAGGCGGGTGAACAAATCTTTGTGGATTGGATTGCGAGGAACATGCAGAGAGGGATGGCCAGAACACGATCTATATATAGAGGATTTGTTAAATGCATGGGCTGATCTGCTTTCTAGTACTGTCCACCCAGCTCTCTCACTAAGAAATATGGTACTGTCCACCCAGCTCTCACTAAGAAATATGTGGCCTTGGGCACGGGGGATCTGAAACATAAGGAATCAGAGAGCAAGGAATTAGCCAGCGTGCCCCTTGCAGCAGGGTTGACCCCAGCCCAAATAGTCGTGCCTGTTGAGGGCATTAACCAGGAGTGACCTCTTCGAGAGGGCAGGTGAGAAAATCATGCCATGAAAATGTGCTCGATGTGGGAAAAAATAGTAACAAGTAGCTCGGTACCGTTGGATCATGGCCATATAACACCACTTAGCCTTGTCTTGGAGATCGAATGCTTTTGAATCGACTGGCATGTCTCAACAAAGCCTTGGTCATGGCCAGTCAGAGCCTGTCGCCGAACCGCGGACTAACAGACTTGTCGAGATGGAGGCAAAGAGTAATGTGGGAATCGGGAATCACTTGGCAGTCACGGACAGAGAGTGGTGGGACTCATGCTCCTGGATCGACAGGAACAGGTTTGCAGAGATATGGTTATGTGGAAAAAATATCTCAAAGCAACACTCGACGTGGGAAGCGAAGGAAGTTGGCGGAAGTTCTTGACGACTTGCGGGGACCGCTAGTCCGGTTCGGGAAAGGCGCCTTTTCTCTATAACCATAATCGCACCATAATCGAACCACCTCGCTCAGTGCCAATAAGAGACGCCTCCCATCTTCCAGTCGACATCACACGGCATCATATGTGGTGCCACTGCCGGAGGGATGCACACCCCCTTGGAAAAAACCGAAAAGATGTCTCTGAAATAGTGTCTCGGCATCTTGTCCTCCTGTGGCCCGCACTGGTATCCTATCTTGATTTGCCCTCGGCCGGCATCACATTATCGTGAAGATCACGCGACCTATAGGGCTTCTTGCAAAGGGCCGGCTACAATTGCAGGATTAAACCCGTGATCTCCTTGTACGCAGTACTTTAATGGGCCGGATCTCACATGATCCCACTATACAAGTCTGCCCTGGCCCGGTTTCCCCAGACTAGATGCCAAAATCACTTAGTCTTTAATTATCCCAGCCCACGTCAACGCGTATCGAAAATATTTCGACCCAGGTCACCCATCAGCTAACGAGACTGAGTGAATATTACTATTCCCAAGGTTGAATGTTGACGTTAAGATGGACACAACAGCGGATGCAAAATCGATTGGGAAGATGATTCATGTGGCATGCAAACATCACCATTGCCGGAAACACGCCAAGCAACAAATCGCCGAGCCCACACAACTGCATACCACTACACCAAGGGTCGGAGAGGAATGGCCTCCAGAATTCTTGCACTGTGGAATATGGCCACCTCCACAGAAACCGCCCTCTGAGCCAGAAGCTGAGACCAACGTGTCCCCCAAGCCAAAGGTCAAGGTGCCCAAGAAGCAAGGACCTGTTGAAGTTTATCCAGATAACATACCAAACATCGACGGGGATGGTAGCGACAGTGAGTCTGAATCAGATGGATCAGAAGAGGATGAGGATGATGACCAGGCCATCACCCCTGCAGAGCCGTTGACGGTGGGGTGGACGGAGCTTTCCGAGGCGATCGACACCTTGAAGATTGTCACAAATGGTGCCGGTAAAGATGGAGATCAGAACGGAAACGATCACAGTATGTAAACTGTTGTGGTTGCCACAAGTTTCTCAGTACTGCTCACACATCATTTTTACAGGATTGACTAACGTCATCCATACTTTAGTCAAGGCTCCGTACTCTGTGCTCAAGCTTGTCGCCAGGCACGGAAATGGCGAGGGGGCTCCTCGCCGAGCCAACGACGCCAACAAATCTCCACGGAAAAAACTCTTCGACCAAGAGATCGTCGCCGAGGGCCAGGCTCGCGTGGAGATAGCTGACTATCTTGACAGCTTGATCGATCATGGAGAATACGAAGAAGGCTACGGGTGTGTGTGGCCTCTCGAAGATTACCGTCGGGCGGGATGGGCAAAGGAGATGGTCGCCGCGTATCCGGTCGAATGTGCCGAGTTTGTACAGAAGGTCCATCAGGAGTGCCACAACCGCCACCAAGCGGAACCGGAACCAGATTGTCTATGAAAAATACGACGCATGAACATTACGACATTCCTGCCTGCCATTCATCTGACAACGAAATGAACGTGGTGGCTCGAAAGTGGACGGGGCAGTGCATCCCGGCCAACACGGGGATTTTACAGAGATGGACAACATCTACGGAGTTTAATGGAATACTACAAATGTATCAGCATTATGGAATATTTTGACGTTTTTGGTCCACCGGGACCCGTCATGGGAAGGACAAACGCTTCAAGGTCCGGAAGATAGGGGAGCATATAGGGGAGATAGCACACGTCCACAGAACCTACTAACCGAGCTCTACTTGTGGTTAACTTGTGAAAGCCGCCGACTCCCCTACAATCCTGCATAGTGTCCTACCTCTTGCTCTCTAAGATACACTCCTTCGAGTCCGTGTCGGAACAGTGCATGTGTGGAGACGATTAGGTTCCAAGCCTGGGTGGGAATCGCAGTTTGGTTTAGTCGTGCCGAAGTGATTCTGTCCTCGGCAAGGCTTCGCAAGGCTTCGCAAGGCTGCCGGTTGGAGATTGTGACGCAATGAGGCCGACATATTTTTCACCCCCGCGCTTTGTTTACAGATAGATCCTCGCATCGACTCTCCAACATCTCTTCCCGTCTCGTCTCCAATTTACCTACTCGCACATCCATCTGTCCCCCCTCCTATATCACATATCATACACAGCCTGCAGCCTGCAGTTTGGCTCGGCCTCCCGCAAAGCCCCAGCAATGGTACGTCCACCTATCCGACCGTTTAAATCTGCCCCGATCCCACCACACCGCCACCACCCCCTGAAGCTGGCAGAGAACTGTTGATTAATAAAATTGGTATGTGTGTGGGGGGGAGAAAAGCAGTCGCGCGATTCCTCCGCATCATACGTCCACATGCACGCGTCGCGCCTGGCGGACGTGTTCGAAGAGTTCTGCCGCCCACCGACCTCGACCGTATTCGCGCTGTGCGGTGTGCACGCGGCGCAGTACCCGTTCCCTTCTTCTTCTTCTTCAGTACAACCCGGCGTCTCCGGGGCGAATAATAGTGCGGCGGCGCTGCCCATGCAAGGAACCATCGCCGACGGCAGCGGCATGACGGCCCTGCCGGGCCACTACCTGCCGTTCGAGGAGATCACGCTCGCGCCGCACCTCATGCCTGTCAACCCGGAGGACGAAGACGACGTGGTCCCGGACATGCACGCCGCCTTTGGCATCAATCGCGCCTTGAACCAGAACCAGACCTCTGGCGTCATTGTCCCGGGCTCAGCCGCCTCTGCTGTCGCTGCCGGCGCCGGCGCCGACGGTGGAGCAATGGGTGCGGGCCAGGCCACGGGAGAAGCCAGTCAGGCGGGCGTCGTGAGGGATCCGGTGTGGAGAGATTTAGGCATGGAAGGGCTGGTTGTGGATGCGTCAAGGAATGGAATTTCTACCGTCGGCACGGAGATGCCGGGATATAGAAGAGAAGGGAAGAGGACGGGTCTATTGCTTCTCCGGTGATTAATGGAAAAGGCCAAAACGGAGCATTACGCGTTTTCGGGCTCATTGTTCGCGAGAAACATGGCATGCATTACACCAGCAGCATGATACCCCGACTTATATTGGTATCATCGAGCAACGGGGGTCAGCCCAAGAAAAATCGATGTCCAGAACATCATAAGAACAGTCATTATATCCTTACAACATCAACCCTCGCGCGTTCGAAGACATTATGGGTCACGGTTCGGGCCGACTTTTCCTCCTCGGATAACGTGCGCGGATGCAACGAGATCTGGGTATACGTGCCGGCAGCCTTGCGCTTGGACAGTTGCCCCGGATTGATCACCATGACGCTGTCAACAACCTGTCAAACTATGATTAGCTCATTCGAAATTACCAACCCTAGGGTTTGATTGGCTGCTTCGGACATACCTTGACGGAAGGAGTCAACATGCTCGGTAGGATTAGCACATCGGGCTTAACTTGCATCCATTCACCGAGCTTGAGATATCCCACATCCAGACATGCGCCCGTGGGTTTCACGACTCCGTTACTTGAGAGTTTGTCTCTCGACATGGGCGGGAAAAGGGGGAAGAAATGCCGCTGCTCGATCAAATATCCAGGCAATCTGGTCAAGAGGTCTTGCCCCGGACCGTGAGACAATTGCTCTCGACTTAGTTCGTATAAGATGTCTTGTGACGAGACTCCGAATACAACCTCATTTAGTGAAATGAAAGACGGATTTGGCATCATCGTAACTTGCTTGGGCAGACCAAGGTTCTTCTTCGTCAGCCTTTCTTGTGGCCAGCTGACGTGTTTGCTCATTACGTCTCGGGTACTAGGGATCATGGCCACCGTGATCCCGGGGACAGCAGAGCAAAGGCGTTGTAGAGGAGCAGAAATCCAGAGTCGGAAGAGCGCGATCAGACTCGCCTCCTGCTCCAGTCCCCGCACATCAGGTAAGTCGAATTCACCCGATGCAAGCATTGGGTGTTCAATGTCGAGAAAAGGTCCGACAAGTATGATACCATCGGACTTTGATTCCTCGGCTTTCTCGCATAGGGCCTGAAAGGGTTCAAAGTCCAAGTTGTCGTCCGCAGTGAACGGACCAGACGCGATCATGATATTGAGTGGAGGAGGGCTAGAATCGTCCGACACCTCGAGCCGCTCATTGATTCCCTCTAATCTGCTCGGTAATGAGGAGGGCATGGGGAGCTTTGGAATCGAGAGTACTTCCTTGACCGTGAAGTACAGCCCGGATGCATTTGTGCCGCGCAATGCAACGATCTGGCCAGGGAAGAACTGATAGGATTGCAGACCGTCCACTTTCAAAGGGACACGAAGTCCCGCACCCATTCGTCTCGACATCTCCAAGACAAGGGATGATGAATTCAGCTTGCCGTCGGCCGTATCGCATGCGATTCTCCCAACAGCAATAATCTCACTGGTGCTCTGTGCGGCAGCATTTCCGAATGCAGAGTCTTCCAGATTGTGGGCTTCCTGGATGAGAGCCAGGAAATCGTTGATCCGTTCATCCAGCCCCTCTGAAGACTCTCTAAGGCGCATAGCCATAGGTTTGTACTCAAACTTATTATATTCCGTTCCCGAAACCAGGCGCAGCCGCGCTTGAGAGAAAGGAGCCATGGGCGCTTCGGCGGCGGAGAGGTGCTCATTCAGCGTCTCAATGATTTGACCTGCATTCGGCCGTTCCGAGAATGGTATGCCTCTGTTCAATATTAGAAGTGGACATTTTCATATCCTTTAACGGAATGACATACGCGGGTGCATCTATCTTTCCAGCTTTTCCTGGTGTTCTATTTGTGATTTCCGGACGGCTGACCTTCCTAGGCACTGGAGAGTCGAAATCTGCCTTTCTCTTGACACTGCCGTTTCGTCGGGACATGGCATTGGGAGTGAGTTCGTCTAACCTGTTTGGCAGCGTCAGCATCTGGCTCACTTGAGCTAGAGACAGGGGCATTGTCGCAGCATACATCCCGAAAACGTCTGAAGTCCCAACTGCCCTTGGTGTAGCGTGAACGAGGCTCTTTCTTTCAGACTTCACCGCAGACTTCGGGGCAGTGTGAAGTGTCCGCTCGCCTCTCTCAACAGAATCTTGCACGTCCTTTGCGAACATGCGTGCTGTCTCAATGTCCAGCTTCGTCTCCTCGCTTCCCATTTTCAGGCAATACACCTCCCATTTGATAAACAATTCGTCTGGCGTGAGGGAGTGGACGCGCAGGATCGACTCCAGGACGCCTAGGATGTCCGGGGACAAGCCGTTCCCGGCGGGATCGAATACTGCATTGAGGTTTTCCTTCATACCGGCCATCGTGACAGGATCCTTGGGTCAGGCAGATCGACCTGATTTGCGCGGCTCGCTGTCGTTCTCAACCCTGGGGAAAGAGGACTTCAGACAATTGGATTGTAACGCGACGGGAAGACGCGTTAAGTGATGCCAAGATTTGGTGTTGTTCCCAACCCCTTTCGGAATTGGAAGACTCGGCAGGTTCGGCTGGTCTCGGAGTACAAATCAGACAAAGAACCAACGTCCAGCGCTCGTGAAAAGCTGGGCAAATTCATCTATTTATCAGCTGATGCTGTTTGTTCGACAGCAGCGGCATCGTCTATTACTATCTTCATCGTTGGCCTAATTTCCATTCTTCTCATTACTACCAAGTATGCCCAGCTCGATTGAAGTTCGTTATGCTCGTATTCTTGCGGTCAGCCATGTCCTTACGGCGCCATCCCGAAGACCCATGTACAACGCCAGGCTATCCCTCATGCTTTGTGGTGTCCCTGTATCCTTGTTCGCCCCTGTCCTGTCGGTGCATTGTTCAAGGCCCAGCCAACTCCAACGCCCTCCCCTATTCCCATCCTGTTCTTTTCGCTGAGGTATTCATCCATCGGACCTCGCATGCGAGTTTCGTGAAAGACAGATCATCAAGCTCCGTAGGCCTTCTCGGCATTGACATGTCCGTGCCCAGTGCCGTCTTTCTCCTCGATACCGTCTACAAGCAAGTAATGTAAAATATCGCTCAGACTCAATACCCCTTTCAGGTAATTCTGCTCGTCCACCACCATCAATCTGTGGACCCTGGATTTCTTGATCGTTTCGAAGATGGTGTCTAACCCATCTTCGAGTGAGCAGCAATATATGCCTGGGTGGGTAGGTGATCGGCAACTGAGAGCCTTGCCGACAGACCAAGTTAAGTTGCCGTAGTCGCCGGATTTGAGGATCTCGATCACGTCGACGGCCTCGAAGACGTTCAGGAGCATTCCTGTCACATTTCAGTCAGCATTGTCCAAATCGATTCAGGGAAGGCCATGGAACCGTGGAGGTGCATCCGTAACATACCCTCCGTCGTAACGACCGGCACACTGCTGATATTCTTGGTGACCATCTCATCAACCACATCCAAGACCGTGGTGTCCATACTACATCTCACGATACCAGTATACGTGCCCAATTTTATCATCTCAAGTGGCTTCCTCAACATGTCCGTTTCTTTGACGTTCATGGAAATGAATTTGAGAATCCGGTATTGAGTTATGACCGAGGTGACCATGGTGCGTTGGGTGTCGCTATCATAGCTGACCAGGGGTATTCTCCGAGCGCGTGAGACGAGTTGTTTTCGGAGAGCGTCATAGAGGATGGCTTCGGGGGACGCGGAGACAGTTTCGGGGGGCTTGACGTTGAGGACTTTCTCGACATCTTGCGGAGGGTCAGTCTTGGTTGCTGTGTAAGGTCTTGGATAGAGAGCCTGTCCTCACCTTTCAAGTCGCTGAGCAACAATTTATCCACATCTTTCAGCTTGTCGGCATGGACATTGTAGTATCTAACGACGTTGAGGTAGTCGTTGACGGTTAACAGGCCAGCGTACGTGGAAGTATTCGAGTCCCATAGCGGTGCAGAGACAATGCCTAAAAAGTACCATCATCAGGACAAGTTCCATCCGTTAGGCGTCGTCCTAAAGGTGAGGGCATACCACACTGGACCATGATCTGTAAGCTCTCTTTGACTGTAAGGCCGACATCGAGCTCAATCAGACGAAAGCTCAAGGGCAGCACGTCGTAACATTTGCGCGCTCGAAGGAAGTCCCGTATTGCCTGCAAGCCAGCTCTTTCATCTCGGTCTATGGGACGCTCAGATTTCGGCGGGGCAGGGAGTGGTATGTTACGAGGAACCGCCTTGGGACGTAGCAGGTCTGATGGCCGGACGAAGGTGGACTCTTGGGCGTTGTAATTAGCGGCAGCGGAAGGAGGAGGAGAAGGGGCGTTATTCTGAGACCGCGGGAGATGGTGGTGGTGGTGATAATGATGGTGTTGGTGGTGGTAAGGGCCAGTCGGCTGGCCATTTGGCGGGGTAATGCGCGCGTGCGAAGGCGGCTGGGTCACCTCTGTATCATCTGCCATCGCGACCTGTCAAACCGCATCTTTTTGCCTTTGTTTCAATGTTGCAAAATCTGCGTCTCGCCTGTGATGTGCGATGATGTGCGGTGTCGAGCGCAGTGAATGAAGGATGAGGAAGAGTGGAGAAAGTGGTGGCTTGTCACACAAAAGGATGCCGCAGGAAGGGCCAGTGACACAGACAATAAGATAATGAGCTGAAAAAGATAATTGCTGGCGTCGTCACACAAGGCCAGACAAGGGTGGATGGATGAATCGGTGATCCTGATTCCTGATTCCTCGGATTAACGACCTACAAAAACAAGTGTGTGTGCAAAAAGACACGAGGCCTGCGAGATGCACGCCATATCCCGTCTTCCCGTCTTTTGGCTCACGATTCAGGGCTGCCAACCGGAGCGATGGTCCGGACGAGGCGGGAAGGGGACTCGGGGAGTTGAAATGGAGGGGCAAAAAGTGAAGAGTTACTGACTAACCCCCATATGCCCCCCCCGGAGCCTCCTAAATTAGCATGTGATTCCACTGCGGCGCCTGCACCAAGCTCCCACCTACTCGGTACTGTACCTATTTCTTGCAGCAGTCACAAGACAGTATACCTGTTCCTATCACCAAACTCCTGTCCCTGTTCTATTCCAGGCACTCGAGAAAACGCAGGTGTACCCATGCGGCAAATCAATATCAGCAAGATCCTCGTCCTCCCTCACCCAGACGATTACTCCGCCTCCTTCTCCCGTTCCGCCAACGACTTCTCACCCGCTCCCTTCAAGTATGCCTCATATTCACCGATTCGCCTGCCGCCTTCCTCCCAGCGACTCCGGAACTCGCTCCTCTTCGATTCGCACAAGTCATTGAGAGCCGGCCAATACACCTCGTGATCATACTCGAACTCGACGAGCCCTCCACTTTCCTTTAGCAGCTGTTCCCGCGGCACATGTAGTCCCATATCTTCATTGAACTTGATCTTCTCTCTTGTCAAGGGGTCAATGAACGGCGTGATCAGCTTGAAGAAGCCCCAGATGTAGAATGGCACATTGGTGACGAGGGCGCGACCCAGCCTCTCCGGATAGTGATTCTGAAGGATGTTCAACGTCTGCTTGCCCTGTGATAGCGTTGCGCCTTGTCCAGACTTGGTCTCTGCAAAATTGATGAGCAGCGCGAGGGTCTCTTGCCCTGGTGGCATCAGATCAATTGCTCGTTCCAGCATGAACACCAAGTGCTGGATCTGCCGATCACTCCGCTCGGTGTTCTGTTTGGATGGTCGCAGGTATTGGCATGTCCGCCCCTGAATGTCCCACCCCAAGATCACCTGCTTGCCTGTCGCATTTTCAATCGAGATGTACTCTTTTGTATGCTTCTCCAACCCATATTCGCGTCGCCAGACCAAAGTGTTCCTCAGTCTTGTTTCCGATTGCGCCACGTTCCAATTTGTAGCCCTCAAATAGCGGAGTAGACATTCCCGAGTGAGGAACATGCGCTCCGAATCGGTCAGGGGTGTGGTCTTTGATCCTCTAGCAGAAGTCTCTGGGATCTCGGTCCATGCGGACACGTTCTTGAGGAGACTTGCATATTTAGTCTCTTGTTCCGTCGTCAACGCCAGTTTAGGAGAAGGCTGTGAAGTCTCCAGAGGTTCGGCTAGCGGTGTCTTGATCAGGCCGTCGCTAGCAGTACGTGGCAGGTTCAGTATCTTTGGGGCATCGGGCGCGGGCGTGGCTCCAGCCTCGGGTTTCGTCTCTCCCGAGCTGGCATTGGCTGCTTGGGCATCACTTGGAGGCGGTACTGTGATCTGGGCGGTCTCGTCCTCTAGCTTCACTTGATCAATTCTGGGGGCGGGATCTGTTGCCACTTTTTCAGGGTCAGTTGGCCCATTGGGCATCATAGGAATGCTCCCAACCTCAGTAGCCATGCTAGAAGGCCGTGGACGGGGACCAGGATCCGGAAGAAAGGATCAGTTGGATCCTGTGATACGGCAGGCTCACATTCTGGACGGAAATAATAAATTCCAGACGGGCTGGGAAAATCGGTCAAGCTGGATCGGAAGTCCCTGTTGCCGGTCAGCCTGATCAAGCCACAACTAGCCATACCGCTTCTAGCCTTTCGGACAATAACCACAAGGTACGGAGTATTAAATATATCCCCTTCCCTTCATCATAGCCGCTCCAAAACCAGCAACGGAGAAAGGAGAATTCAGGGCGCATATCGGCCTCAGGTCAGAAGTTGAGAGGAGTTCCATTTTCGGTTACAGAATCCTATCTCGTTTGTGGCTCCTACACTTTCAAATTGTATCTGCACCATGCCAATCCACCTTCGGCAGCCAAAATAACGATACAAGGCCGTTCACAGCTGCAAAGAGTTGTTTGTTCTGGTTGTTAGAACGATTGTATCGACAGCGCCATTTGATGATCTTGCTGTGGATCGTGCCATACTTTCCACCTCCATCACTTCTCAAATGTTGAGGGCCTTGGCGTCTGCTGGGGGTTGAGCCGCATCGTTCTGAGAGAGTTTCCGCCATTTCAGTCGAAGAAGTCGCTTGACTCCCTCCCACTCAGTCGGAGATTCTGGCCCCAAGATGATGTAGTCCTGGCCGTCTTCCTCAAACAGATCTGCACATCGGATCTGTAGGGTGTTGATCCAGTTGGGATGGACGCTGATTTGAGCATGGTGGACGATCTTTTGTGGCTTTCCGTCTTCTTCGTCGAGGTAGAATGGCCCGCAGTACGCGATGGTCTTCTTTGCAGCATTGGCTAGCTCTTGCGTAGTGCCATGTTTCCAGTCACGGTCGAATGATTTGAGATCCGCCTCTTGGAGCAGGGCTGCCATGTAACCATCGTTGCTGTACATGATCTGGCCTTTGCACTCCTTGCCCATGGGGTAGACGATGTCATCCGTGTTCTCAAGGTTGACGGCAACGTACGACACCAGGCCCCAGGTGCCAACGACGCGGGACCGGAAGGACGCCATCTCGGCAGATGTTGGGGATCCAATTCCACCAGGCATTTTTTGGGTAAGCTGTGCGGTTTATAGGAAGGATTGAGGTTCTAATCTTGTTCAGATGGGAGGAAAGGAGCTTTCAGGGCATACAGAGTAACAAACATGGGGGCATCCAGCGAGAGGAAATTGAGTGACAGCAAACTCAAGAGCATCAGACGAGCATGGGAATGGCAGGAACCGACAAATTGACAGAAGGGAAGGAGCATGACGGTCCTATCCAGCAGCATGTGGTCAAATTTGATTCACCTATTGATCCCATTGCTTCAGAAGAACTTCATCAGACCAACAACATGCTTGGGCAAACTCATGACCCATCATCCACCCCTCACGGTGTTGGATAACTCTCAACAAAAATCATAACTGTTTGTTCTTGAAAAGCAGGGGGTGTTCCGCTAATAGACACTCTGAGCACAGACCCCCACCCTCAGGCATCTGTTTGCTGGTAGACCCGGGTCGTGACAGATCACAGAGAAAGTGAGGGCGAGAGTAGAGAAAAGCGAATGGAGCTCGGCTCCATATTTGCCACCAGAATTGCACTCTGGCTCATTTACCCCAACGTAGGTGAAGAGAATCATGTGCCCCATCGTACCGCGACGTCAGGCATCATGCGTTCTTGATGGTAGAGCATCTATATTCTTTATCGCAGAGCAGGTCTCCGGTTTGATAGCGGCTCTTTCCAGTCTCAGGGGTCTGCTGAGTCACTGCGTGTCCTAATCTACCTGGACATCCAGAACACCGCCCTCAAAATGCCGCCACCTGTGCCTAACCCCGCAAAGCGGATGACTGCAAACCCTGCGAGACCCGTTGCAAGGTATCGTCCTGGCAAACCAGTTGCGGAACAGGAATCGTCTGACGAGGATGAAGAATCAGAGGAGGAACAGCAGCGGCCACCGCCCCAGAAGAAGCCACAAACCACCAGACCGCAGCCAGCAAAGGCCCAACTATCGAGAAAAGAGGAAAGTGAGGAGGAAGACGAGGAAGGTTTTGTTACGGACGAGGAGGAGAGTGCCAAGGTTGGTACGACGGGAGCACCAAAACCGCCAGTTAAGGGTATACTCCCTCCGACCAGGCAACTTCCGGTAAAGCAAGAGTACACAGGAGAAGAATCCGAGGAAGAGGAGGAGTCAGAAGTGGAGTCTTCAGGAGAAGAAGAAGAAGAAGAAGAGGAAGAGGAAGAGACTTCGTCCGAAGAAGAAGTGCCTCGGCGAAAATTCCAGCGCCCGACATTCATCAAGAAGTCTGATCGAAAACCTCCCACTCAAGCCCCCGACGGCCGTCCTGAAGCGGCTACGAATGGCACAATACCAGATCAGGACGTGGACACTCAAACTCGCCGTCTCGCCCAAGCCGAGCTTTTGATCAAAGACAAGCTGGAACGCGATGCTCTAGCCCGTGCCCAAGGTAAAAAGGCATGGGATGACGATGACGAGCTAGTGCCCGAATCCATGGTGGACGACACTGACGGTCTCGATCCGGAAGCTGAATACGCGGCTTGGAAGCTTCGAGAACTAAAGCGGCTGAAGCGAGATCGCGAGGCACTGATCGCGCGGGAAAAGGAGATCGAAGAAATCGAACGACGGCGCAATTTGACGGCGCAGGAACGGGAGAAAGAAGATAAAGCGTACCTCGAAAAACAGAAACAGGAGCGCGAGGAAGGCCGTTCTGAAACAGCATTTCTGGCGCGATATCATCACAAAGGCGCATTTTTTCAAGGCGACGAGACGGCGGAGTTGCTGAAGAGGAGAGATGTGATGGGGGCAAGATTCGAGGATCAGGTCGCCGATAAGTCTACTTTACCCGAGTACATGCGACTGAGAGACATGACAAAACTGGGAAAGAAGGGGAGGACGAGATACACGGACCTGAAGGGAGAGGATACGGGCAGGTTTGGAGAGGAGGTCAAGAGATGGAAAGGCAGTGGCGGCGGAGGGCTCGGAGCAAAGACAGGAGACTTTGATACGAGAGGTTTGGACGAGCGGTTCTTACCCGATAATGACCGCGGAGGTGGACGGACCGGTCCGACGGGTGCAAATGCAAGCGTTGTCGCTCAGCGACGCGACCGGGATTGGGACGGAGATGGGAACAAAGACGGAGACAGCTATCGGCCTCGAGACAGACAACGTGATCGTCAAGGCGACAGAGACCGGGACAGAGACCGGCGGAAGCGATCATATTCTCGATCCAGATCGCGCTCTCGCTCCCGCTCGCGGTCTCCTCGACGACGGAAGAAAGAGCATTTGTACGAGCGAGACGCACGAGATCGGGAGCACTACAGACGCGAAAATCCTGCCAAAGCCTGAGAAGGCGTGTGGCGGCACGATGACAGATGGATGCATCGTTGCCCGTTTTGGCTCGTTGATGCTCGAGGAGTGCAATGGATCGTCCATGAGCGGCCTGACGGGGTGCAAGAGCAGAGAGGAGAAGAGAGGAGCAATCTGCCCACAAGCTCCCGAATGTCTTGACGACGAACGTGATCTCAAAGATTAATCCTGCACAACTTCCCTTCCTCGGCCCTTTGAGTGTCCACATGCGAGCGATCACAGTTCTACCAAGTACTATTATTCTCGATAGCACCTACTCTGTATATATGAGTGCGTCGATTGAAAAGACGCGAATAATGACCAGAGCTGGTTGATTGATTGATTGATTGTCTGTCTGTCCGTCTGCCCGTATACTTGCATGGGCTTGCCACTGTAGTTCGCCCGGCAAACCAATGCTCGTCACTAAACCTCGTCAGAGTCTCTCAGAGTCTCTCATAGCCTCTCCCTCTTCCACGTTGTTTCTCTTGCTCTCACTCATCTCGTCTCATTTTGTCTCACAGGATCCCAGTCACCTCCCGGCGCTGAGCTGGGGGTATTGACACGATGCGACGCAGCAAACGAACAAGTCTCGTTTACCACATCTCCATCTCCATCACCTCCGGGATATATAAAAGATCTGTTCCTCCCCTCCCTTCCTCCCAGGCCTTACTTGTTCTGCTTTTCTTCCATTCCCTCTCCTTTGCTTCCCCGCTATCCTTACTCTAGTATCGTCGTAGCTCAAGGACCACACGGCCGACCGACCAAAAAGGAAAAGAAAAAGGGGACAGGTCCCCGAAAGTCGACAGAATCCGCAGCGAGTTGATACAGTATATGTCAAAAGACTGAACATTTTTGATAACTCCGGCCAGGGGGGAAAAAACAAATCAAAAATGGTCATATCAGGTGAAACTTGCTCGAATCCTGCATGACTCTTTTCCTGTGGTTCACGAGAAAATGGAGGGAAGCTCATTGTTTGAGTTTGAACTGTAGGAGCCTATTCCACGGCCGTCGATTCAAGGGCGTTGACTACGCCACCAGGCGACCTAGACCAGGCGTCTGCCGTGCTCCATGCGAGCACGAGTCCAAGACTATCGACACCGCCACTGACACTGGATGATCGAGCACATGCTGTCCTCTGTCTCTGCGCGGGTTCAAGGCCGTTCATTTCCCTGGTAGTAGATCCGTCGGCTCCAGCTGGTGTTGGTGAATGTCGCGGTATGAAATCCCCTATCCTGCTTCCTCCAGATCTAGTTCCGCAGTAGTGAGTACATACTGACAGATCTTTGACAGGTATTTCTAAACTCGATCCCATTCGGCCTCAGACTCCTCCTCCGCAGCCTCAAGGCAGCCGCAAGTAGGAAGGAGATTCCGGGTGCATAGATATATTCGAGATTGAATATCCCATTTGGCCATTCCCCACCAAAGGCTCACACGATGACTCGGTGCAAACTGACAGAATAGCTGAATTTGAGCCGTAGCCCCGCGGACAGAAGTTGTTGTGAGTATCGGAAGAAAGTCGAATTTGCCGACGTTTGAAACGGAATGGTTAGAAATGGACCATGATATTGGAGTGCTGGGTGTAGAGCTGGTATAGTCTTCTGTAGACAAGCGGCGTCTGGCAGCGACATCAATGGGATCAGGCATCGTCAGGCTGTTGAAGAGCTTCGAAGACAGCAGCTTTCGGTTTACGACACCGTGTGCCTCGAGCTGGAGCTGTTTGCTTAATCATCGATTGCGGATAGTGATAGGCAACAATCTGGAGCCCATCCCGCAATTCGCTTTGAGCATTTTCTTCCTTCTTCGGTCTATCCATTGGGTCACTTCTCATCCAGATTCATGCGTCACATTTCTTCTTTGGTAGCATTCGTGCCCGTGAAGTATTGCGGTAATCCCGGGCCTGGATATCCCCTCTCACTTAACACCCTGCCTCTCCAACTCCCTCTCCCGTTCCATCACGCTTTCGTCGAACTTGATCAGAAACACCGTCCGGTTCGGCCAGACGTCCGTCCCGGTGTTATGCGCACTTGCCTTGCAAGAAAATCCCGCACCGTCACATACCCCCTCGATGATTCCCGCAATGTACGCTGCCACACTCAACTGGGACATTTCCTTGGGGACCGAGATGTATTGGTTGGTGAGGGGCGTGTTGTCTATAATCATATATTCCCCCGGATTGGTTGTGGATTGCTCGAGGGAGTCAGCGGGACGGGAGAATAGTAGTGGATAGAGCTTTGTTGTCAACAGTGTCAAGAGAGGGAGTAGCCGTAGCGGTCGACTTGCACCTGACCCAGAGCCGCTACTCGACGATCCTCCACTTGATGAACTCGACCCCCCTATTGGCGACGCTCGATAGAGTAGCAGATCCAGTAGCTTCAAACCCAACGGATAGCCCTGCTCGTTCAGTCTCTTCTCAAAATCCTGTATGCCCTTCACCCTCTTATGCGCGTACGCGACCATTTCCATGAACAGGTAGGCGAAACTGGCTCTCGACAGTTCGGCATTCCGAGAACGGTTGAGGTTGCGGTCGTAAATGGTTTTGCGCGTTGAAGGGTAACGTAGGGTTGAGATCGAAGTAATGCTAGTGGGAGTGCCAGATGTGCGGTCTGGGAGAGGAGTCCCGGCGATGCTGGACGAGCCAGAGTATTGGGGAAGATGTCGTGAAGGGGAGCCGGTATGCGAAGGCGGGTAGTTTGAAAGGGCTGGCGGGATAGCAGCCATGGCGCGCGGGTGATTGCGGTTGAAGCAGCGCCGATGGACTATATTGCTTATGACTTGTGGCCAGGGAGTTGGATGTGTATGGAAGCGAACAATGGGAGGATGATATTGTCGAGAGGCCGAAAATGGATGTTGTTGCAAGCGACCGCCGAGGCTGCGATTCCAGAAGTTTAACAACACAACCAACACCTCTCAACAGTCAATATTCAATTTGCCACGAAGGAGTAATATGATCTATATACCTGGGTATTTACTGCCTGAACGTCTGGGAAATGGCAGAAAGAAGCTAAATCTTCGGTAAGATGCACCATCATGATCGCAAGCCCGATATTATAACCCCTTCTATCACTGGTCATCATCGTGAGAGTCTATCAATTCTGCTCACGCAGGCACGTTCCCACCATGATATATATGATATCTTATGATATGGCGACTCGATCAAGAGGGTTTTGTGACTCTGGTCTCAGAATTCCCCTCCCCCCAAACAAAAATTGTGGCATAAGATTCAAGCCTTGGGTCACCACACTCAGATGGGCTCCTCAGGACGGCTCTCATCCCCTCCCGTTGCCAGTCCTTTTCAAGCGAGAGTTCCTCTACACTCCGCTGCGGCACTGAAGCCTGAGGGTGGCCCATCAGCGCAATTAACGTAATCATATGTTGGGTCTATCCACAAGAGCACCGAGCCCTCTCGAACCTTGGATTAAGCTGTTCTTAAGGTCATCAGTTCTTTGCCGGTGCTTCTTTCGCTGTCTTCTCCCCGTCCCATTCATGATACGCCTTCTGTCGTTGTCTGGAATTCCATTGTAAAGTCCTTGAAATACTGTTAACCCAATCCTCGCTTCGGCGTCCAGGTGGCATGACGTTAGCAAATGGATACCTAGAGGCCGAGATGGTCACATAGTCGCCCGGAAATAGTTCAATTCTGGAGTGTAGTCAGCAAAACGTCCATCTCACAGGGACAAGCGGCGAATCCGTACCTCTCCCGCCCGTCAAAACTTGCCCACGAATTCGACCTGGCATCAAAGGGCACTCCCAGTCGAAGAACGATAGTATCAGGAAGTATGATAGGTCGGAATGACAGAGTATGTGCACAGATTGCTGTGACCAGAATAACGGGATTCTCTGGGTGACATAGTGAACCTCCAGCAGCAAGGTTGTAGGCAGTAGATCCAGTGGGAGTTGCAACGCAAATTCCGTCAGCTTGGACGGTTGTAAGGTGTTCTTCGTCTCCGAAAAGTTCAATGGTCGACATTGTCGGATTTGGGCCCCTATCGACCACGATATCGTTGAGAATCTCAAACGTCCGGTCCGGTCTATGAGTATTTCGATCATCAGCTTCCTCTCCAATCAGCTCTTCCACAATGTCCCGGCATTCGGCATCGTCGGCTCGCTTGTTGGATCGCATAACAGTGCCCTCGAACCGCAATCTCAAACTAATCGTCACGCCATCCTTAAGAGCCTGTGAGAGTATATGCTGATAATTGTCGAAATCAAACTTTGTAAGAAATCCCAATGAACCGAGCGCAAAGGATAGCACAGGCGGCACCACTCTCTGGAACAGCCAGCTCGCATAAAGCACTGTCCCATCACCGCCCAATGTCACAACGAAGTCGAAGGTGTGGGGGTGCCTCCGGGCCAGGTCGGCATCCCAATACCTCAGACGCTCTCGAAAGGAAGGATCCTCAGCAAATAGACCCTCGGCATCGAACAACGGGCTGTCCTTCAAATTGTCCTCCACGTACACAATATAAGGTACAGATCTGTCCTTGGAAAGCAGCCATCTTGTCACCTCTCGTGTTTTGGTAATCAATGTCTTGTCGTATATCTTGGTGAGCAGGAAGATGGCCCGCACCCTGAGTTTCACCTTGAGATTACCCAACCTCTTGGCCATGGTCCTCACACTCATGGCCATGTCACTCAATTGTTTTTTCGTGAGCAGGCGGGATTCTGTCGCGCGGATCTCCTCTTTACTCAAATTCTGTCCATTGACATCTGACCTCGAACCCGGCTCTATTTCGTCGATCTGTTCCAGCTTTGACTCGACTTTGGGCTGTTGACCCAATGAGCTTTTCTCGACCAGTTTGTGAACCAGGCACTGCGATTTCGTGCGTTCGGCCTGGATTCTCTTAGGTTTCTCGACTGCAGGAGTTTCCGCAAGCACTGTGGAGGATTTGCGTCGGCGGGCAACTTCATTGTCGAAGACAACCTGGGGGGAAAGGACGTGTTAGGGGCTGCGGGTCACCATCGAGATACTATCAAACTCACTTCTATCTTTCTGTTGTAGTCATCCTCGCTGCTAGAACCATCCTGGAGCTTTGGGAGAGTCGCTGTCAGCGTCATAACATCTCAGCTTGTGCGGCTATACACACATCATCGGGCAGACACTCGCTGATCCTTCTGCTCACTTGCGGGGCATCCCTTGAGGCCGACATGACGGAGAGTAGGAGAGGGATGAAAAGGAATGATCGAGGTGACGATATTCTCTAGGACTTCATTACTGGTACAGTCCAAGGCCAGCAACAGCAGGCGACCCGTGTTCAAAGTTTAGCCAGATTTGAGACGAGCAAAGGTGCCAATGCCACCAGACGCCTTGTCCAATAATGACGACACATAGGGACTATACCTTGCACAAACCAGCTTCAGAGTACCCGCCGAGCCCGCTCGCCCCCCCCTCCGTTCCTCTCTCCGCCAAGCAGGCTTATGTAATGCAGAATGGATGGCGTGATGACTAATCAGCCCCTTTTCGGCAAACCACTCCCAGCAACCTCCTGCGCAAACCTATTCCGGTAATTTAACACCATGGGAGCTTTCTTCTCATCCACTCCCCAACTTGTCAAATGTCACTCCAAGACTGTAATTCATGAAGTTTTCTCTGCACGCTTTGCACATTATCTACCTTACCATGTCTTGCCTACTGTCCCAGGCTGCTGATGCCTGGTCCTCAATGACACCTGATGCGTGTCAAAGGGTCCGACAGCTTCGGATTGGCAGGGATCTGAGTCAAACCTGGTGGATGTGAGTACTCCGTACTGAGTATGAGGTGGATAACGGGCGTTGCAGTGGCCGCAATTCGACTGCCACTTTCATGACCGCTCTAAACATGGCAATTTCGAACCATGCAACCCTATGTCTTTGGTCAATGCCGCGATGCTGTACCGAGTAGTTTAGGGGTCATTAGCCACAATGAGATATGAGACAGGCGCCAATGCAGGAGCAACACACAGTCCACCATGGCCCACCTAGTGCCAACCTTTGGTAAAGCCACTCAATACTCAGACCTCCGCCGCTATTATCAACGAAGGTAAGCAGCATGTTCGATTAGTTTATGCATTTGACCTTCACCTACTTTATCGATGCAAATCATCTTCGGCTTGACTAGCCGATAGAAACAAAGGACCTTTGTTTGGGACTCTTCCGTCGCATTGCGTTTTTATGAGACTTCAGACAAAAAGAAGGCTCAAAACCTAGTAGAGGGAATTAAGAAGAAGCATGGGCATCTTACCGGAGAGACCCTCAGCCAGATTCCCGACCTGGCTCTTCGCGCAGAAGTGAGCAATGCGCTGAAGGTAAAAGATAGCTTGATTGCTTCAACGGTTGTCACGCACTGGAACTCACGCTCTTTAGCAAACAATGGCTGACATTGTTGATCAGGCTGGCTCAGCCATTGTTGATCAGGTTGGCCAAAAACTCTACATGAGCAATGCTCGTTTTGTGTTCGAATTGCTCCAGAATGCGGATGATAACAAATACACCAAGACCCATGACATGCCTTTCATATCTTTCCACATCTATCCCTGGAAGATCGTGGTTGAATGCAATGAAGATGGTTTCACACCCGAAAACCTCAAGGCCATCTGCAGCGTGGGTAGAGCACTAAAACAGGTGCTCAAGGTTACGTTGGAGAGAAAGGGATAGGGTTCAAATTGGTCTTCATGGTCGCATGGAAAAACCTCATCCACTCTGGAGACTTTTCCTTTTATTTTCAACATCGAAAGGGTGACACTGGAATGGGTATAATTTCGCCCACCTGGCATGAACCTGAACAGATTCTCCCAGATGTACTTTCAAGAGTCACCTTGTTCCTGCACGATTCTGGCGATGCCGCTTTTCTTGCAAGTCAGCGGGAAATGATATCCGCCCACTTCCACGAGCTTCAGGACACTTTTCTTCTCATTCTAAAAGATATCCGGAAGATTAATCTCAAGTTTTATGATGACGACCAGAACGTGACCGAAGAAGTTGTTCATTTCCTCGAGAATTCCGCTCATGGTTCCAAAGCAACAATCACAATGAAAACCATCACCGCTGACCGGTCCGAGCAAATCTCAAGAACCTACCATGTTACGAGGTATATTACTACTGGCCTTGAGGAAAATACCAACAGAGAATATTCAGCAGAAGAACTGGTGCAGAAGAAATACTCCAAATCTGAGATTGTCCTTGCCTTCCCACTGGCTCCTGATTCAACCCCTCTGGTGCAATCCCAGGATGCATTTGCGTTGCTGCCACTTGCACGGTTGCGTTTTTCGTATGCTCTGTTTCCCAATTTCGACGTGAACTTGGACTAATAAAAGCTAGTTTCTCATCCAAGCTGACTTCGTCACCCAAGCGAATCGACAAGACGTTATTACAGCGTCCCCTCGGAATCTAGGGCTTCTCGATGGCATCGCACATCTTTGCGTCAAAGCAGTTCGGGACTTTTGCGATCATCCTGCTCTAACGTACCGGTGGATGAGATACTTCCCAGATCCTTTAAATGCTAATTTTCAACCTTTTCGGAAGCGACTTGTTGACAAAATCCAAACCCTTCTAGAATCTACTCCAGTGATACGTTCTCGCAACGAGGGGCCTCTGGGACTCATCATGTCGCTCGGGAATCTGGATCCCGAGGAGAAAGATGAGGACGGCAACCTGCTGTGGGACGATATTGTCCCATTTTGTTATCTATCTCCCGCATACAGTTTCAATGACCTTGAGATTTTGCGTTGTTATGGACTTGAAGTGGTTTACATGGAAGACCTTGTGGCGCGAGCTGAGGCAGACCTTGAATTGCCGCGTTCAAGGATGAGGACCTCAAAGATGAGGATTGGCTTTCCCGTGCTTCAAAGTTGCTTGCGCATCCCTTCTCCGAAGGGTAGGACGGCTTGAAGGTGGAGGTGAAAGCAATGCGTCTTATACCGTTGCAGAGCGGTCAATGGATATCTGCCAATCAGGGTCCGACTTACTATGCAAGCAGCGCTGGCGTCCAAATTCCGAGAGACCTAGGACTCAACTTAATCGATCGCAAACTCTGCCAGAAAGATCCTATTTGATTGTCTTGGTGCAACAAAGGCATCAACCGATCATGTTCGAAACGCAATATTTGAACGCTATCGTTCCTCTGCAAGCACGGCCAATGTCAGCCTCCAGACCTCTCGAAAACATCTGGAGTACCTGTATCTGACCCAGAAGCACGAGAGTGTCGTTGTGCCGCTCGCTTTCAGCCGTATATATGTTTGCTCAGAGGGAGAAGAGGCTCTTTTCCCGAGGAAGGTAGATGTATACAAAGCCGACAACAGCGACTACGGCGTAAAGAAACTGCTGAAAGCTACGCCACCCGGCCCAAAGCCTGGCGATGGCACGCCAGGGCTTTCTGTTCCAACCTTGCATCGAATTTATCAAGAAGACATCCCTGAAAGTCCACCAGGGCATCCCTTGACCTGGAACGGCTTCCTCAACAAGTACCTCGACATCTAGCTGCTTCCAAAGCTAATCCGCGATCCAGGTAACGAATCAGCATCCTTGACCGACACCACCTGCTATCTCCAACAACACCGTCCAGAAGTCTTCTTGCCGGTAGTTCGCCGTTTCTGGTCGACTGAAGGTCGAAAGATCGCATCCACAAGATCAGCTGTAGAAGAAATGCGCCGCATGGAAGTCCTTTGCAGAGGAGGCCGTAAGATGTCCGCTTGAGTTGACATACTTACCCACCGCCTCCCTCGAACGTTCGCAAGCACGCTACATGGCTGATTCCGAGTATTTCCCATTCTTGGAGCTGCCGCTTCCGCCGAGTGATGACGCTGAGTCCAATACATGGGAATTTCTGTGCACACATTTCGGGGTCGAACGAGATGACGAGTTGCACTTTTATGTGTCAATTCTGGAATCCATTGTAGATGCAAATAAATCTGCCGAAACTGTCACGAACAGCCCGAGACTCTATGGAGTCTATAGCCGCATTCAGGCCGGCCTTCAGAATGTTCGGATCCCGGAAAGTGAGATCAGGTGTGTGAAAGTCCTAAGAGGGATGTATATCCCATCTTTTAGCTGTCAGGTGCTAATGGCTTTCAGGAAATTATTCGAAGAGAAGTCAGCCATTTTGATCCCAGAGGGCCGTAACCAACGTGCTGTATGGGCCCGACCTAGCCAGTGCCTGTGGGATGGACCTCAGGATATGCAGACCAAATATCCGGGGATAATTCGCTTGAGCAGTTCTTCAGAACCACATTGGAACCCCCGAGTTGCTCCTGGACGCATCTTGTGGACGAGCTCAAGCATCTCAAGACCTCTGGTTGCACGGATTTCGATCAAATCAACAGCTTATATACCCTTATCAATGAGTTGATCGGCCAAACCAATGTCGATAATGTTCAAAAGCTCAGGTCAGATTAGCTCGCTCCTGTTGCAGGCCTAAAGCACTGAAGTCTCGCTAACAACATCCCAGGGAATCCATCGACGACGATGCCTTGATCTACGTGAATGTAAGTGGATGCCACAAATGGTGTAAGATCTTTGAGTATTTGTGGGCGAGCGCAACAACGATAAGAGACCGGACGACTCTCAACGATCATTATGAAGACTTGAAAGATTTCTTCGTAACTGTGCTTGGGGTTTCGGAATTAAGCTTTGATATGATGCTAGACGAACTAATTGAGAAAGGCACCAGACAAGCATCTGTAAAAGAAGTCAAGGAGACGTTGTGGGCATTGACATTGCTCCTGTCCTCCAACACTTCAGCCGCCTCATCGAGGAGAATTCCGGACAGTCGAGTCTTTCCGGTCAAGTATTCTAACGGACAAGTCGCCTTGTGGACATCTACGGCCCACTTTGGAAGCGTGGACCGTCAACGTCTTGGAGATTCGTTCGCTGGCAAAGCAAACCTCCTTGACTTCAGCTTGGACGAGGTTAGGCTGCTGAAACCATTCTTTGCCTGAACCGGTCTGGAGAACCGATATCTCTCCAACATGGTCAAGGAGATTTCCCGAGTCGACGGCGGTGAACCTGACCTCATCGCCGACCGAGATCGAGATATTTGCCGGAAAGCTGAAGGGCTTTTTCGGTGAGTTGTGGAAGAGGAAGAGCCATGAGAGCCACACTTTTGACCATGGACACAGGATAGCCGCCCACTACAACAGCCCTCGTGTATCGGAGAACGACCGTTCTGTCCAAGGCCTCTTTCGGAATGCTCGAGTCTATGAGACGGATGGGATCTCTTCCTTGCTAGGTTTATCCCAGGGTGGACGAGAACGACCGGTCGAACTCGAAAGGAGCGAACTTCACATTCGTGAGGACGAGTTGGGACTTCGAATATATGTCCCCAGAAACCCAAGAAGCCAGGACTTTTGCTACCTTCCCAAGCTGCTACCGCGGCTTTTCGAATGGGTGATGACTCACTTCGACACGCAAATCCGAGAAAACAATGAGCTAGAACGTGTCCTGGTTGTCACGAAAATTTTGAATGCCAAACTGTCGACTGTTAATTGGATACTGGAGGAAGCTGGAATTATGGAAATTCCTCGCACGGGTATTGTCGACGACCAAGGTATTGCCGTAGACCCCGATCCAGCGGATCATGAAAGTGGGGCTGAAGAATCCGAGCAAGATGAAGATGAAGAACAAACCTGGCCGTCCGATCGCGACGATGAGGCGAGGAGGCTGGAGAGCAGGCCCAAACAGTCGAGGCCTCCCACGACTGAGAAATACGATTCACGCCTACTGCGTCCAATGAGGGCAGCAATACATTGATATCTTCGACTTCTCCATTTGTCGCAACGACAATATCCGCTCAATCGTCCCACTCTCGGGCCATCTCTGGAGTCGTTTATAATCATTCACAGCACCGATCAGCTGCTACAGGCTCCTCGCCATTGCCGCCATCTCCGCGAAGAATTGGCGATGAGAGGACAGCTCACCGCGATGCGACGCCTGACATGGTGGACATGCTTGCGTTGGACGAGGACGCAGGATATGTAGCTCTTCTGGACAACATGATCACCAAAGCCAGGACCACGCCGTTCCCCAGTATCGGATCGTTCGACATGTCACAATTGCTCGACAGCTTGCCCCTCGACTCGGATATCTCAGCTGATCAGTACCCTCTTGACGACCGCCGGTTCAGATCCGCGTCGCTGCGAGAGCGCCATCACAAGGTCAGAGCGGCCAGTGAGCTTTTCGTGAGTCCCTCCCCTTTCCCCCCTCCTTTCCCAACCTGCCTATATCCCCGGGCTCAACAGAAACTGGCATTTCCCCTCACTTCGTTCGTCAAAGGTCTTCGAGCTCCTGTCCAACCTCGACCCTGCCCTCCCTGGATTTAGCGATGCGAACAGGCAGAGCATGATCCGGAAATACGTCCGGGCGCATCCGCGGTACGGGCGCATGGACGGCTGGCTGGGTCGCGAGACCGCGGACATCACGTACGACGACGCCTCGAGCGCGCTCACCGCTCTGCTGATCGACCAGGGCTATCTCGCCCGTGACGGCGAGGCAGAAAAGCGGCCCATCTACTACATCGAAGCCAAGTCCACGATAGGGCCGTGCGGCCGCCCATTCTTCATAAGGAAGTTCCAGTATCAGCGCATGCAGAATCTCTCGACGGCACGACGCGAGGACTCTCCTCCGCCTCCTCCTTCGGCGGCGGAGGCGATCTACGTCCTCTTCCGCGTCTTCATTGTCGGCAGGGACGTTCCCGGCGTCCGCATCTACGTCGACCCCGAGGCCATGAGACGAAAGGGCGACCTGACGTTCACGGCGGAGACCTGGTCCGTTGGTCTGGGTCGGGCCTGAGAAGCCATGTCTCTAGAGGAGGAGGAGCGAGGTGGAAAAGATCCTCGGAGTCCTGAGTCCTCCTGTGGGCTATGGACCAGGGGGCAATCCAAGAACAACTACTCCGCATACCTCGTACTGTACTTGTAGATAGGTCTAGTTACGAGTCCAGCCCCGCCTCCACCTCCATATCACCTGTTCTAGAAGCTATGTCAAAACCTAGGTATATCAAAACACACACAGTATTATACGTCTGGCAAGGCAACTAGGTTTCCTACATATGTACAGGGTACCCGGCCAATGATCTCATCTATAATAGCATTCCCCCTTGTCCATCCAAGCGACACTATATGGTTGGCTGGTTGGATGTTTACTTCCCGACGCGATCTCTCCTGTGCATAGATACCTGTAAGACCGAAGAGGTACATAGGTAAGGTTAGTTTCTACCAAGGGCTTTCCGCGGTCTGGGGCCGGACTGGACTGAATCGAGGCGATACTACGAAATGAAAAGGTCATCTAGAATAATACTACTACATAGGTAACTATATCACCACCTCCCCAGGTAGGTGTCTGTAAATAGTACTAATGCTGCTACCCTAGGTAGGTATATGCCAGCACCTCCCATAGTATGCGCAAATGCGTGCGTCGCTCGACTCATTCGTTCATTCATTCATTGGGTATCATATTTTAAGTCCTGTTCGTAAAGTCATAACTCCTTTTTTTGGTGCCAGAAACTTGCTAGGTGATCCGGCTGTCCTAGTCTGCTGCGCTCTGCTCTGTTCATGAGACCGACACAGCAGGCGTCCCTCCGGCAGATGGGTCTTGCACGACATGACTGGATACGTCGCCCGCGGTCTTCAGGTTCATGATAGGGAATACCACCGCCCCGTCCGGCGTCTCCGACTCTCCCGTGTGCGCCTGGACGGGCGAGCTGCTCTTCGAAGAGGCAGAGTCCGAATCTTGAGACATCCCACTAGAGGGAGCCATGTCTGATTCTGACTCTGCCATTTCGTCATCGTCAAACAGTCTGCTTGACCGCTCCTCTGGTTCGACAATCTGCCCTTGATCAGGGTCATCGTGCATCTGAGGGGGGTCTCCCTCAAGGATCGTGGTGACAGAGTCCTTCTCCATTGCTACTTCCACTTCTGACCGAGAAGGCGGTGGCGAGCTAACAGCCTCGTAGAATAGCATGAACCCATTGCCCCTAGCGAGTACTTCCTCTTCTGAAATCCTGGTAACCCGCTCGTCGTTGAAGGAATACCAATCTTTATCTCGTTTCCCCAAGGCAACGTAGTGACCATCATGATGACTGCCATAATGCGTCACAACGCACTTCAGCTCGTACACAGCTTCGACCGACTCATCGTTTTGGTCTAGGGGGGCACACCATCTGCGTAAGAAATCCAATCTCACGGGAACTCGGACGTGAGCGGTATTCTTCAGCTGGTTTCCGTAGTTATCGAAAATGCTTCGGTTGATGTGAAGAACCAGGTCTCTAGGTAAGCGTCCGACGGTGATCTGCTTTGCTTTGGTCCGTAACATTGGCCTTTTCTTCTTCTTTGGCTTGGTATGGGATCCCTCGGACCGCATTTCCTCGTCTTCTGACGATTCCGTCTCGCCATGGGCCAGCTTTGTGCAATTCTCACATTCGACCCCTTCAACTTCTTCTGGTGCTGTATATTCATTGAGCAATCTCTCAACATCGCAAGCGCCCTGCAATCCCAGGTTCAGGGTCAGGCAGTTGAATTGTGTTAGGGACAGACCCTCAGTGAAGCCACAAGTCCTGCATTCAAGGCTCTGTGCAGTCATTCCGTCGACAGGATTCCGCATTCCGCATTCCCTCAAATTTGCTGCTGGGAGACCGCCAATCCTCCTGGTCCATGACCCTCCCGAGCCCTGCTCTTCCACAGACGCATCTGTGATGGAATCCGATTTTCCAACTGCCCTGAGACATTCTAGACCGGCTATTGTAGCGCGTTTCAACTTGTTGGCGTATTGATTGGCCTCCTTTTCGACCGCGTCGAGAACACGTGAGAAATACTCCTGGGCATCCTGCTGCTGCCAGCTGTCCATAGATTTGAGGACCCTCGGCGTCCAGAGAACGGTGGTCCGCGAGCCCGAATCTGATAACTGCTCCAGAAAGGTCACCAGGGCTCGATGGGTGGCTGCAGGAATATCGTATCGGTCACAACATTCCAGGCTCTTCTCCAAATACTCGATGAAAGCCGGTAAGGAGGCCAATCCCTGTAGCACACTGTTTTGATAGCAGGAGTTGTCCCAGTTGCCCAAACCAGGAGGGCCAGTCTCGTGGCTCAAAGACATGTATGAACCGGACAGACTCCTAACCTTTCGAAGTGCAAGGGGCAACTGCGGTTGTCCCAGGATCATCTTGAACGCCTCCTGTTTGGCAACCATGTCTCCGAAGTTGACTCTCTTGAATTTTGCTTCCTCCGGCCTCAGATGGCCCAGGCGAACCATGCTGTACTGCATGGCGTAGATCACAGGCGAAGGGGTCATGTACACGACGAACTCGTAGATGGCTCTTTTGATGGTCGAGGGCCAGGCGTCGAAGAAGGACAAGGCATAATATCCCAGGAGCAGTAAAGCAAGGGTCGAGATGATCTTGGTCTGGGTCGGGTATGAGGTGCTCTGGTTGTCAGAGGGGACGTCGTCGAACGGGCTCTCGTTTGCCCTAACCGGGAGGTTGTTCATGTCGAACTGGAGGATGCGAGAAGGGGAGGGACAGGAAGATGCAGAGGAGCCACAAATTGGGCAGATGCTTTCCCATCAGGGATAGTGGAAAGCCGTTCACTCTTTGCCAAATATTCGAAGAGGAGGCGAACGGCGGACGTGATCATGACAAGGCTGCGTTTTGGATGACGAGGACCAGTAAATGCATCATGTACCAACTTCGCACCGGCGTATCTCGAAAAGGCTTGGCGACTTGGGATGGGTTTCTCATCCATCCCATCCACTACCAGCAATAGCCAAACACATCACAAATGCGAGAATTCCGGAAATGAACATCACGGGCGGTGGGCATCTCGTCTAATTATCGTCATCTAAAGCTGCAGCCTTGCGTTTGGCCACATATCTACTTCTTGCTGTCGAGGAGAGCTCAGGTTCATTCTGCGACGTGCACGCAACCAATGTCGCCTCCGTTGACACACCCTGACCGTCGCTATCGGGGTCGTTCTGGAACATCATGTTACGAGAGCCTTTCTGGGTTGATTCTCTGGCATCTCTTGCTCTTCGTGAAACCCGTCGCCTGTCTTCTAGCTCCCTCAATGCACGTTCTGGTCGGCCAGTCACATTCTTGACCCACCACCTCTCCCACATCCAGCCCAAAGCCTGCTCCGTCATTTGTCTCAGATACATCAGATTGGGAATGTCAGCGTGTGTGACTTGATGGCGGAGATCAACAAATGTCTGCGGCATCCCAATCGTGGCGGCATGAGCGTACATGGAGCTTTCACCCTTGGCGGCGCTTGCTGAAAATCGAGTCACGTCTTCTCCCTCAGGAGTATCGTCCCGAGCCATCTCGGCGGCATATGAACGGGCGACATCACGGTCAACGAATCCATTGACAAACCTCGCAAATGCCATGGCATAGATGCTCTGCATGGCCGAGTCAGATATGGCCGTCCCTGATGATGACCTCCTGCGTTCATCGTGGATTAAAGCCTCGGTCAAGCTGGCGGTGGCTACCATCGCCGGGGGCAGCTGACCGGCTTTGAACAGCCAGAGATTGACCCGGTCAATCGCACGCTGCCTTATGTCTCGCGAAGAGTCAGACCCAATGGTGGAGGAAAACACTTCCTGTTTCGCATGGTTGGGGAAGAACCAGTCTCGGACCATAGCTAATTCAGAGTCGTGTCGCCAAGGTGGAAATTGCAAGATCATGGTGCTGAACGTTGGGACCGCAGCAGACGCGGAGGGCTGGTGAAAATTTCGCGGTGAGAGATCCGGTCCTCGGATCACGGCCGGCACTGGAGAGAAGGGGAAAGGTTTGAACGGATCAGGGCGTGGTCATTCAGGAATTGCTGAGACAGCGGTGATATCGAAACGACAGGGAGGGCGCATACTGAAGCGGTCAATAGCAGGACGCGGGCTTCATGCGGCCGTTTGCTCAACGGTCTCTGGTTGATCCTCCCGGGGAAGAGTCCGTCAAGTGGTGGATGTACTTGTAGGGAGAAGGAGATCCGAGTTGATGTGGTGTTGGGAATTCGCACGTGACACAGACGCACCCAGCCAATGAGCGAGGAGCAGTGGGTCAATATGGGGCATGGAAATGTGCCTTCCACTCATTGGCTGGCAATCAAGTGCATTCCTCGACGAACCATCTGCATGATAGACAAACTGAACTTGGTTGTTGAGGTACAAGGCTAGAACAATGCCCTGAGCTTGCCTTCTTGCGGTCCCCATGGCACATGCCTTCAGTAGATGGTGTCAACTAATACATGATTTCTTCAAAATTCCTAGTAATCTAGCTCGTACATAGGCCTGGTGATCCTCTTCTAGGTCGTCACAGGGGGGGTATCATGGCTATAAGAACATTTTGTGAACGCTGCAAAATTTGCCTCCAAAGTCCACCTGTTGCCAAATGACTCGTCATAAATGTCATCAAGTCGTGATTGTCAAGCCCAACCGTAAGAATGCCCGGACGGGTAATAGGCGCTGTTCAGCTGCCTTAGCGTCGAAAGATATTTGATTGCCAGAGAGTCAGGCTGTGCTTGCATGCCAAAGGTCAGATGGTCCGCGATGGACCGGCTTTCATACTCGGCGGTGCCAGAATAACCCCACACCGAATCATCATCATCATCCTCCTCGTCCTCCTGCTGAACCCCTGGTTGGCCGGTTTCGTCCTCTTCGGCGTCCTCGGTGTCATTTTCTTCCTCTTCCTCTTCCTCTTCCTCTTCCTCTTCCTCTTCCTCTTCCTCTTCCTCTTCCCGTTCGACCGGTTCAAATGACTCCTCTAGCTTCAATCCCTTTCTCCCTGAGCCCGCAGACCCACTGAAGAG